TAGGAAGAGCTCAAATATATGTCTCAGCGTCCCTCATGTCGTTGCGTTTGCGAAGTAAGGGAATTCCAGCTTTTCGAATCCCTTGATTTCTCAGCACTCATCCAGGAAACTGCGGAAACTTCTCGTTTGGCGGCACATGTGTTCCATCGGAACACATCTCCGTTAAAGTAGGCGATAACACGTACTTTCATAACTAAGCATACTTTTGATATGAGTGGCATGGCGCATATGATTATGTGCCCACATGACCACCTATGTGATTTGGTCGAGTCATCTACCCAACTGGCATTTCAGAGCGTGACTTTCTCGGCTTGCCAGTCCATTTAGAGCGCATCGGTAGCGCTTAGGACACACGTTGACATCCACATGCATCAGTACGTTGCCTGATTGGTACAAAAAGTTTCACGTTCACATGGTTCTTCGGTGCATAGACACTCCTCCATATCCATTTTGATGCTTTCTTATTAGACATTTCCGCTTACATGTTGTAACTTATGCTCCCAAAATACTTGCTGCCGGTAAGCACCGGCCCATTAAAAAATTGTGTTTCTGTATATGCTGTGAAGTGAATGTAAAAGGTATCGAACGGCCTAGAAGATTACGAAAGGGAAACTGTGGCCAGGACTGTCTTCATCTACGTCGGTTTTTCGATCGGTTGCTGGTGTAATTGCTGAACTTGACTCAAAATCGGCCTTCGATATTTGACCAAACCGTCTACCATCGGTCGACCATTCACCTACCGACTTAATTTCACAGAAGAACGAGGCACTTTTCTATCTTTTTCTTGAAATCGAAGATAGTTGAGCATATGAGAATGCCAAGCTGCTCACTACAGGCTTGTCGAACTTCGTCTATGTTGAGCAACTGACACTTAGAAGCACGTTATTACAACTGAGTATTGATTGCACTCGTAGGTTTCTGATGCCGATGTCACACTGCAGGGTATGTCGCTAGTCCCAGGCGGCGGCCCCAGAAACAAGGTGATTAACTCTGTATTGTCTCAACGATCTACAGCAAGACTTGCACAGATGACTCTGAGACATAGGGATAACTCACTGTGGCATTGTCTGTTGCCGAAACAATCTGTCGTACATAACGAAGCAGTTGGTTATTTTCCCCGATGTCCACTTCTGAGACGGATTCTCGTCTGGCGCTCACCATGAAGTCTTTCTCCGAACACAGCTGCACGTTCGCCTTTGGTGATCTCGACGTGCACGGCTTAGGCGCCTCAGACCTCTTTCAACTAATATGAGACTATCCACAAAACAACTTGTCCATGCAGCAACGGAGAAAAAAGCGGACTGGGTCATTGTCTCAAATCGGTTGTTAATAAAAAAAAAGTGTCATTTTATACTGTACATGAATTTAGACCGCTATTTTACTGATGCGCACTTTCAGTAAACGTTTCTTTCTAGCCATCTGCCTGAGTTCAATGACTCATCGTTCATTCGCACCGGTTTCGAACATTCCTTTATTGACCGGAACAAAGTTGCTCTTTGTATACAATACCCCAACCCCATTCTCGCCTGTTCATCTGGTCGTGGCGATTGTGATTTGCTTGTGCCGGCGGCATGGATTGGCTTTCCACCTGCCGGATTCGTCTGTTCCGCTTGCTCGGTCGATCAGTGGCTATCGTACCATGATCCGTCCTCTGAAGATCAGTGTCGCAAGCGGATAGCTCACATACCTTTGTCCGAGACCGAAAGGGTGCCTGAATCACAACTCTCAAACCAATTTCCTCACCGTTCACCGGACCCCTGTAAGAGTGGTAAACTTGCGCTCGCTGCACTGATTGACTTTCCAGTCCACTGGCAGCGCATCGGTTTCGCTCATGTAACCTGCCAGCTACCATCACGCCACTGTAAACATTCCGCCACACAAGCTTGTAAGTTCACGCGTTAGCTTGAGAGCGGTATTATCTGATTTTGTCTTCACTGGTGTACCGTGTTGTCGGAAATAAACCCTAAACGAGATGCAATGTGTTATTAACTTGTATGCGCCTATAACAATGCTATTTTAGTAATTTCACTATCATTGTCTTCACAGATTTTCTTACTTTTTCTATGGTGTTAAGAGACGACGAGCGATTGAGACACAAAATGATCGTGGGTTAACCCAATTTGATCTGCATTACTTGTAAACGAGGACTAAGAAAATTGATTCAGTTTAACTTTATTAAGCGTATTATGTTACATATGCGTCGTTGGCCAAATAGCGTGTTATTGATTAGGGATTGTAGCCTGCAAAAAGCTTCTCAGGGTCATAACAGCCGCATAACAGCCGTTCGAAGCTACGGCGTTAAACATAAGCAAACCAGAGGTCGGTCACATATATAGGACGTTTAGGCGAGTGAACGACTCCATCCTTCTTGAAACCCCATGCTGAATACACCACTTTAGTTTGTAGCCATTGCAAAGGGTAAACATGCAGCGTTCACAACACCATAGGAAGAATCTTGTTCCACCTTCCTTTTTACCTCGGACGAAACCTTGCATTGAAAGCATCGTCGTTCTGGCGACGACTTCCTAGCGATATTTAAGACGCTCAAGGACCCCCTCTGATTCGCCGCCATCTTTTGAGACTTATCCACAACAGCAACCTAATAGTCACCGGTTAAAGTTTGACGCACGGCATAGCTGCATGGTGGGTTGCTAAAATTCCTTGTCTCAGTGCCTTTAAATCTCATCTTAATTTACGATGGTTTGACTCAACAGAATTCGACGATAAACTATATGACAGAAGCGAACAGGGTTTCTATCGGCCTTCGGAAATTCCAAGTACCTTTATTCTTGAGTTCGAAACCCTCATCCCGTTTAACTTGGACATGTATGTTTTTTACCCCCTATAAATTGTTATCCGTGTTCTAAGAGTGGTTAGTAATGCTACTACTGAGTACTGGTTGTAAAGTGCTTATGAATAAGTAATGCAGCTACTGGTCACTTTGAACTACAAACTAAAGGCGCTTGTTCAGCTCACTTATTTCAACGGTTGTCCCATCTGTCACAGTGATCTTAATGCCTTACAGAAGCTGTCGCGCCGATAACGCCTTGCCTTTGCACGATAACCGGGCGCTCAGAACAATGCGTTGTTATTAAGGTGCTGCTTCATTGATCCTGGACTTCTGCTGAGAACATATACTTTCAGCATCAGGTCTTTCTTCCACTCTCACGCTGCTTCTTCCTCAGTAGAACCGTCTCAAAATCCATGGCACGTGACAAGCAAGCAATGCTGGTGAATTGGTGCTGTCGTTGTTGTTGATGGTGACGAGTAAAACGTATTTACGTGACTATCGTCTGTGCGATATTGTCTTCCCTATGTCCGTGGTTTTACATACTCTGATGCCTGGCTCATTGTGTTGATTAAACTACGTACTGCGATTCCGGGTGAGACGTAAGCAGAAACTGTCCAAGAGATTGTTTCACACGCCTTTCTCAAATCGCAACTAGTGAATCGCTAAGGAGAACATGTCCAACTGGAACTAATATCATGAGGGACAACTAAATAGACCAACTGACTCTGGTTTGGAAGATCGAACTCGTTAGCACCAAGCTGCCCAGTGGGTCGTGTTCTGAGGGGCTTGTGGTGCTGCACCTCAAAGTCCCATTAGGTCTTACAGTTTGGTGGCCGACGATCTCCTTCATATTATGGCTTACCTCTTTTCCCAGGGACAAATGTAACCCAGGGTACTGTCTACTGGTGGCATAGTTGTATCCAGCACACAACTTCACTGTTCGCAGAATTAATTCTCAAGTGTTGTCCCCCTATATTTTTGTGCTACAACTAGAGCAGACAAAAAATTAATCCTACAAAATATTCGCGCAGCATCTGTCCGCGGACTATTTTGTAAACCATACAACATACACATTCTAGTCTACAAGCAAAATATTGTTGCGCGGAAACAGCGATTTTGAAAGCAATGACGGCCGTTGCCTTTTCTATAGAACCGCTCCTTATATGCTATGGATGTATCAGTTTTCACTAAGTACTTATGACCTTTTCTTTGGTTAGACGAGATACGGGGTTATTATTATTCTCCGCCGATTTGTTGAGAATGGAGTTTGAGACACTGCGTTTACTGCACGAAATTATCAGAAGCATTTTGTAGCTTGAGGAATCTTCGTTCGGCTCGATAAAAACTGGGCTTCAGCGCTTTACCGTCAACAGGAGGCAGATTTGAGACCGCTTATTCAAGTGGCACTTGTGCTCCCAATGCCACATTTTGCCATTCCCACACATTTGCCTTTTTAATGTTGTCGTTTATGCACCTTCGCATTGTCTATTGTAAAGTGCTGAAAATGGACCCACTCGGGTACATAAACCTTATAGTAACCTGACTTGATTCAACTACGCATGCGGTCTCAGCTTACAGTGCTGCATTTGGTTCGAGCCGCATGCGACCGTTGCGTCTAAGAGAACTCACACGTATTTCTTGCTTATTGTAGTCAGTCACAGGACTCCTACACGCTAGTTTCGGCTATCCACTGAAACTGAATGATCCCTTTCCCAGAGACCCAACCGACTCACCACTTACGACGTGAAACCTCATTTTCGCTCCATAACCTATGAGGAGTTCCATGAGCGGATACCGGAATAAAGTTTAGTATCAACAATTGCATCTGGTTGTTTACAGAATTATCCATGGTAATTTACATTGTTTCAAGGCAGTAAATGATATACGGTTACCATGAGATAAGCTACACCGCATAGCCTCCCTCCTTATGAGCATACCACATTTATGTGAATTCGCAACCTTTTCTCACGAACCGATTATACTTCTTGCCGACTATCACCATTTTATTCCTAATCACTTATACTACTTCCAATAACGCCAGTGGGCTATTCCAACGCAGAAATAGACACTTCGGTCGCGAAAATGATTCATTCAAAACCGTAACATCAATGCATCGCCTCTCCTGTCTCATTCACTTATGTAGCTTCTTCCTCGTTATCTCAGTCGAGCTGGACAAACTTTTGGCCAACTTGGGACATTTGTCACCTCCATGTCTCAATGTGTTGACGGAGAAGCCGCTGCTCACATGAGGGTTCGATACGAGTAAGTTACTTTCTTGTTCTTCATCAGCCTGGTAGCGTTGAGGTAACAGAATGCCAATCCGGCGGTTACCCCCATTCACCTTCTGTTGGTGAACTTTTTCTCACCTGTAACTATGGGTTGGCAAAGGTCCTCCAAGGGCTTCAACTGGTTCGCATGTAGCAAGTGACTGTTTGAGGTCATTGTATTAACCGTATCTGTTACTTGAGGTGATCCACACACACACACACACACACACACAAAAACTGCATGAGCCCCTCATCGCCGCACTAAGTTGGCGCACCACCAAACGGTTCCAGGTAAACAGTGTCGGGTAGCTCTCCAGTAATCAAATACGTAGTCAGGGCCGTGATAAAAATCTGTTATGCAGGGACAAATAACTGTTATATTCTGCACACAAATTTGATGCAATATTTTATTGTAGCATCTTTTCAACAATTTTCAAGTAGTGCAGGACAATCATGCGTGGATTCGAGGTCAGTTTGGAGTCAATGAGGTGCACTTGCCAAATCGGCTAGCAACCATCACGAACTGGGCGCAGGTGTCCATGTAACAAGGTACTTGAATAGCGACATTAGGTTCTCTCTCTTTACCCTTACAAAATTCGCACTTAGCTGCTGTTGCTTGGTCCTTTTAAGCTTACAACACAAAAGGTGACCCAGAAGTATATGAATTGTTGCATTTACTGGTGATTTTTTACACATTCACGGCTTCTCTTTAAGATTACGCAGTCCGGCTAGAAAGACAATGTAATCCCTGTTAAGCTTGAGCAAGCACAACCCAAGCTTAATCCTTTGACCTGAGTGCTATGCTTGGTGCGGATATGGTAAGCACAAAAGCAGTGGGATTTTCCACTTTGCTGCTCAAATTGCTATCTGCTGAGCGACACACTTTATCCATGCTTGAAGCACAAAGCCCCTCACCAAGCCTAACTCATCTTATTCCGTCTTCTGCAGCTTCGAAGGTGAACGTGTCCAGTTGCACGCCAATGCAGCGTTGATTATCATTCAGGGTAATATCCCAGTCAGAAAAGGAACAACGGCTCGTGTCTATCAACTATGGGGAAGGTGTGAGACGTCTAGTCAGTTTACATATGGGAATCCTGAAATCGGGCTGCAACTTTATAAGGCGGATGACCTGTGTGCAGTATGCATGGTAAGTCAATGCGATGCGGCTTACTCGCGGATGTTTATTGTCTGAGTAATACATCAGTTGTGTACCTTTTTCTATTACTACTTCAACTGCGGTGTTACTGCCTGCTGTGTGCTGTGCCTGATACCCAATTCAATCGTGAAACCAGAAGTCCAGACTCGATAGATAGTGTGTATTAAATGAAAAGGGACCATGCATTCCAATTATGAAAACTTTCAACTCATCTTTAGTGTTCTGGCGTCAGCCAATGTGAACGCACTCCGCTTGACTGGTTTATCCCGGTTCACCCTATTTGGCCGTCTGTGCACGTCAGCACACAGCACTCGTACATCCGAGTTCGCCAGCCACTCACATCGCACTATGTTCCATATTTGGCCATTGGTTTTCGTGTCCGGCGCAAAGCCCTCCGAGCTGCGGCCACTGCTTAGTGTCTTAGCACCGTGCATGGGTATTCGTTCCGTTTATGCAGCTTAAAACCTATTTCTGCTCTTTCTTTGTCAATTGTGATTTGCTCACGAGAGACTATGGAGGAAGACATTGCCAGCGGGTTGGTCACTTGATGCCTAAAAATCATCACTGAAAATTTACGGAACTCCGTTTGACGTCGGAGCCATCGTATTTTCCACATTCAATCCTAGACAATCGATTATGATAGTCGCCCCATCATTTTTCCCTTAATTGCCTTCTGGGTGGTCAATTTCCAACCCCAGCACTGGTGGCTCTTTCGTTCTAATTTGCGTTTTCATTTTCCTGATGGACTAAAGGAATTTTAAGTCTGCTAAACTTACCCTTCACTCTAACTTTTAACACCGATCCTCTTAGAAAGCAAGTGCTCTATCACAGCAATTGTGATATTGAGGTGGGGCTAACACTAGATATATTGGAAAGTCGATTTGATATATGTAGTCGCGACTTGTATAGTGTCAAGTTCAATCACTGGATGCTAATCGAACTGCACGGGTTGCGATGTTCCTACGGCACTGGCGAATAGTGTGTACTCCTACGACAATACAGCTTTGCGGACAAGGGAACTTGTCTTCGTGGATCAGTTTCACACCGAAGTTACGGTGGTGTCACGTATGCAGTCAAGGTTTCGGCATTCGCGCAGTCCTAGTGATCTCGCCATGTCAAATCCCCCCGCGCCAGCTCCATCGCGACGAGTGCAGTGCGTCGCTCCGGGCGCTCGCTCCAGTTCCGCTCCAGTAGTGTGCGCACGTTCCAGCAACCGATGCTGAGTGCTTCGCGCTCAGGCATACGATTGCATTGGTGGGCAATCGCACGCGAGGTGGTCATTGTGCTTCGGAGGTTTGCTTGAGGGTCTCCGCCCGGAGCCTTTGGCTCAATAGCCCACAAAGCAGTGGGGAAATATATATATATATATATATATATATTATATATATATACATATATATATATATATATATATATATATATATATATATTATATATATATATATATATATATAGTAAAAGCATCCAGTTGCGGATGTGCCTGTCACTGTGACCAGCCACAGGACGCCTGCGCCTACAGACGGACCATTGTTGGCTTGCGCTGCAGCACCAACGGTTCCATCCACACACCCCAATATCCGGTGTAAAACCCGAAGGAATAAGACCGGGTGTCATGTGGATGGGAGCCACGTTTCATCGACGGAGCCTGCCTACACTCCTTCACAGGCAAACACAAGCACGCTGTATTTGGGAATAAATCACATACAAAGCGGTGACTGGACCGAAGTCCGCTTCACACTGAGTGCATGGAACCACTCGTTGATCCTAACACGGCCACAAGGATGGTGCACCCCGTACCCTACAGCAACGACCAACGGTCTCCTAGAGCCTGTATGAACGAAGTGGTGGTTTATAGACAGGTAGGCACCTTGTCAACATGCACATAAAGCGCAGCCAGCCACGCCGGTGATATCAAGCAACAGCCAATCAATTGAAACGAAAAGACGAATTAAAATAAATAAGATAATGCATACAGATACGGAGACATAGCTCTTCACTGATTGGGAGTATAAAAGATTTGATTACGACCGAATCCGCGATAAGTTCAAGAGGTCAGAAAAAATATTTTAAGGAAATGTCACAAACGCGAGAATCTTCTCGAAATGAACAACAATCAGCTTCAGCGACCTATGCAAGTTTAGAGAAGATAGTACAGGTGGACATTATTATGTGAAAGAAAAGCACTTGGTCAACATTGCAAACTCACCGCCAGAAATAAAGAGACTTAGCATGCAAGCATGCGGTTATGAAATCTAATGCAGCGTACCTACAAACGCTGCGCCGGTTCTGCCTACATTCTCTGCAGGACACGTCATCACTTCGGTGGTGCACCGGAGTTGCAATCCTCAATGTTGCCGCGAATCAGCATTGGTGCTAAAGTATTGAAAACCACCGCCCGCTTCTGCTGCCTTGAGAGTGTTATGTCGACTGACCAGCAGCTACACAGTGAGCTGCGTATCCGCGTGTCGATGGCAGCGGCAGCATTCGGGAAGCTTGAGTACCGAGTGTGGAACAACCATCAGCTTACCATTGGCACGAAGCTGACGGTGTACAAATCCATGGTGCTGTCCGTTCTTCTATACGGCAATGAAACGTGGATGATATACCGGCGGGATGTGCGATATCCAGAGCGGTTTCATCAGCAGTGTTTGAGACTGATTTTGCGCATCGGTTGGTGCGACAGAGTTGCAGACACGGAAATGTTGCGCCGAAGTGAGATGTATGCAGTGGACTGCATACCTTTGCTGAGACACCTGAGGTGGATCGGTCAGGTGAGTCGTATGGATTCGACGCGGATACCGAAACAACTATTATATGCTCAGCTGAGTATTGGGAAGCGGCATGTGGGGAAACCGAAGTAACGTTACCAGGACATAATCAAAGTGAGCCTCACACATTCTAATCTTGATTGCAGGTCATAGGAATCGAAGGTGGTTGATCGGCGTGCATGGCGCGAACTATTCATGAAGGTAGTTGCCAAAGTGAGGGGTAAAGACTTCATGCATACAGAGAAGAATTGGCATTTGCGGAAGCGACCGGCACCGATGGGTTGTACTCTATAGACATCAAGCGCATGATGCTGTACCACATGCGGTCGCGAGTGCCTTAATCAGGCAGGCCTAGTGAGCCATGAGCGAGGCCACTCGGGACAGCGACCGAAGCGATGACGTGTCCTGCAGAGAATGTAGGCAGAACCGGCGCAGCGTTTGTAGGTACGCTGCATTAGATTTCATAACCGCATGCTTGCATGCTAAGTCTCTTTATTTCTGGCGGTGAGTTTGCAATGTTGACCAAGTGCTTTTCTTTCACATAATAATGTCCACCTGTACTATCTTCTCTAAACTTGCATAGGTCGCTGAAGCTGATTGTTGTTCATTTCGAGAAGATTCTCGCGTTTGTGACATTTCCTTAAAATATTTTTTCTGACCTCTTGAACTTATCGCGGATTCGGTCGTAATCAAATCTTTTATACTCCCAATCAGTGAAGAGCTATGTCTCCGTATCTGTATGCATTATCTTATTTATTTTAATTCGTCTTTTCGTTTCAATTGATTGGCTGTTGCTTGATATCACCGGCGTGGCTGGCTGCGCTTTATGTGCATGTTGACAAGGTGCCTACCTGTCTATAAACCACCACTTCGTTCATACAGGCTCTAGGAGACCGTTGGTCGTTGCTGAAGGGTACGGGGTGCACCATCCTTGTGGCCGTGTTAGGATCAACGAGTGGTTCCATGCACTCAGTGTGAAGCGGACTTCGGTCCAGTCACCGCTTTGTATGTGATTTATTCCCAAATACAGCGTGCTTGTGTTTGCCTGTGAAGGAGTGTAGGCAGGCTCCGTCGATGAAACGTGGCTCTCATCCACATGACACCCGGTCTTATTCCTTCGGGTTTACACTGGATATGGGGTGTGTGTGGTTGGAGCTGTGTGTGGTGCAGCGCAAGCCACCCATGGTCCGTCTGTAGGCACAGGCGTCCTGTGGCTGGCCACAGTGACAGGCACATCCGAAACCGGATGCCGCCAACCATATATATGTTTGGCGGGAGAGAAAGTCCATGGTGCGCTTAGGCTTGTGATAGCTAGATCCTGTCAGATCTTTGACCCGTTGCTCCCAATGCTATGCCGTGGGTTCATGTCCTATCCGCCTCTTCCTGGGGCCGCTGGGTGGAATTTGATGTACACCCATTCTCCTAGCTAAGATCCAGGACATAATTCCGTGTGAGTCGGTTCATTTACTAGCCACCTTTCAGGTGTGTCCTTTATCGGAGGCTTTCGCTGAGGACTCGGTTCCTTCTCCTGTCAGGTGTGGGTGTCCTGGCAGTATCCCTATACAACCCGCAAACATGAATCGTGGCAATAATAATAAACCCATGCTGCATCGGCCGTCGCACAGTGGCCTTAGGAAAGTGTCGCCTTATCTACTGAATACAGAGGGTGGACAGGCGAAAACGTGCTACCGCTGATGCCTCCCTACTTTCTTATTCATCTGCACATACCCTCTCGTTCGTGTTTCATCTACTCCACTACATCCTCTAATCCAGGTTGTTACTACCCATACAATTGCCCACCATCGCCATTGTATGTCTCCGCACAAAGGAATCAACATCTGGTGTTGGAACGTGTGTATATGGCTCGATCGAAACACGAGTAATCATCCCGAGCAACGCACTACACTGCTTGCCGTGGAAATGGCTCGCTACGGGATTGACATCGCCGCACTCAGCGAGACTAGGATCGCTGATCAAGGCAACCTACATGATGCTGATGCGGGTTACACAATCTGTTGGGTGGGGAATACCACCTCAGGACCACGTGAAAATGGGGTCGGATTTGCACTATCAGACCGCGTAAACAGCCAGTTGGTGGCAGATCCGACCTTCATGATTACATCCGCGATATGAGAGAGGTAAGTTTGCAACAGTTAGCGCGTATGACCCCCATGTTTATCCTGATGACACAAAGGGTTAGTTTTACACTCGCTTATCCACCGTGATGCGGTCTAGGACGAAGATCGATCGAGCATCGCTCCTGGATGATTTCGACGCGCTCGTTGGGCGGATGCCGCGGTGTGGACAGACACCGTTGGTCCGCGTGATATTGCCACAGCCAATGGAAACGGTGACCGGCTGCTCTCACTGTGCACCACGCACGGCCTGAGGATTAAGAACGCACAGTTTGCACTTGCACATAGCCACGGAATATTCACGTTCACCTCTCGACTATGTCATCGTACGCCCGCGTGACATGTATGAAGTGCGCATGACACATGTACTGCGTGGAGCTGAGTGTGGTACTGACCACAAGTTGGTGCCTATCAAATTGTACATACATTTTTGTAAATATGTGTATACATCACCGGCCGTGAACCGGTGCAAATTTGACGTTCTTTTTCTAGGTAATGCTGATTGGCGTATTGGTGTCAACGAAGAACGCAGCATTTGCTACACATGTGGCAGACCCCAGTGACTGGGGAAGAGTAGTCAGTTTCGCAAACTTCGACGGCGACCGACCCGAGAGCTCCATCGCATAAAAAACGCATGGTGGACGGAGAAGGCGTAGCAGATGGAATGCTACGCCGAACGCCCACAACACAAGAAATTCTTTGACTCCTTGAAGGCGGTGTATGGACCGAGATTGGAGCCGCTGAGGACGCTGATCGATGGTATTTCAGGCGCTAGCTGCACACAGACTGCAGACATAATGCAGATCTGGCGAAAACACTTTGACTGTCTGTTGAACAACCGTCCAGAGATTGACTGGC